TAAAATCTATACTAATATTATAAATGTGAAAGTTTGTGAGTATGGATGTTTGTTACTCTTTCACGCCAGAACGGCTAAACGGATCTGGCTAAAATTTGGCACAGAGATAGATTATAGTCTGGAATAACACATTGGCTACTTTTTATCCCGGAAAATGTACAGTTTCCGTGGGATAGGTTTGTTTTTGTTTTCCTAGATGCGAATCCGAACGTAGCGAGGGTGAGCCGCTAGTAAATAAATAAATATGTTGGGACATTAACACACATCTAATTCCATTATATGCTACGAGGCTTGTGTTATAAATACCAGATAGTTGATACACTACACATATACAACTTTAAATACATATATATTATAAACACCTGGAGTACAAACATTCCTGCTCATTACACAAATGCCCCTAGTTCGATTCGAACCCGCGACCGCTGGCTATGTTTGGTTAATATCGGTCCAGCAGTGTAAGAGTATCTTTTCCAAAATTATGTAAGGCATTTTGGCCTATGATTACTGGATTAAGTGCTTCACGCGTGCCAGTGTAATCGTGAAATGACAATTAATTTGAGTAGGGGTTTTTTTAATTTTTAATTTATTACTGCTATAGTCTTGGCAATGATGTTTTAATTACATAAAAACCTTCACATACACACGATATTTAATTTTTAACACTAAAGTTACAAGTATTTCCGCCTAATCTAGAATTATAAATCAGCATTGCTAGCTTTTTATAAAACATTAAGGTAAAGTTATTTTTAACTTGGAGCTTGTTCACAATTGAGCGGTTCGAGTGTTATTTGCATCCAAAATTATCGAGATAATTATCTCGTACAACGCGAACGAAGTCGAGGACAACAACTTGCAACCAATCAGTGTAATATAAATAATGAATATTATTAGAATTCTAGAATCTACTGTACTTGTCCAACAACAGCCTCGTGCGATCTGTCAACGCGATATCGCACGCACCTTGCCTCACATCACCTTAGCCATCCAAGTGTCATTACAAGTCTAACCACAAAATACAAAATATATCTAATCAATATAATTAAATTAGTTTTTGAGTTTTTGCCATTCGCATGATAGATATGATACATGTACGTTGATAAAGTAACTTTAGTTTTAATCCAAGATATAAGGAATCTCACTCAAATGTGTGTGATGATGAATGTGTGTGAGCTGTGCAGAGCCTAAAGAAACTTCATAAAACACAATCACTTACAAACTATCATTTTTGTTACAAGTATGGTTGTAACTAGATTGCGAAATGTCAAATAAATCTTTTTTTTTTTAATTTTGCTTGGAGCTGTTGGAGCCTCAAAATCAAAAGTTTTAAGAATCAAAGTAAGGCTGAATGTATATACATATAAACATATAGTTTCAAATATATAATATATATGTCTCAAACTAAAGGCATTGAGTACGTTTATTTACACGTAAATTATTATCAAGGTACATGTAGTGTCTGATATCATATAATGTCTGAATATCATAAAGAACTAGAAATAATTAATTAGCAAGAAATGATAACAATAAAAGTATAATGTGTAAATATACAAATAAAACAAAGCGACGTCGCGTCGTCTACGCGAAGTGGAAGAAAAACATTAACGCATTAATTACATTAATCAATATAATATACTAGCATTGCCCGCGGCTCGGCACGCATTCAGATTACCAAAAACCAAATTTTTAGGTTTTACATATTAGTATATTCTTACATTGCAGTTTTCTATTTTTTTTCTAAAAAATTTATATTTTCCTGCAGTTAAAAGTATCCCATATGTTGACCCGGATAACCAGCTATCACCATTCCAAATTTCATCAAAATCCCTCCAGTGGTTTTCTGTGATGCGGTAACAGGCAGACAGGCAAAAATTCTAAAAACTATAGATTCGGCCTCTGTATCGATAATAATGTTTATTTCAATAAGATTTTCCAAAAAATATTTAATGTACAGATTCGGCTTAATTACAATTTTATTATATGTACAGATAAAAAAAAACAATTGCCGTTCGTTGATCTCGCTAAACATCAAAAACGGCTGGACCAATTATTCGTAGAATAAATCTTTTTTGTTTTGTTACGAGTGTGTCAGGGGTGGTTTAAAATTAAAAATAATGGAAAACCAAAAAAAAAATACAGCTGGAAAATGGAAAAGTTCAGAACTGTTTCTTTTGTACTTATGTATATATAATATTATATAGTCAATCTATTCCATACTACCCGTTAAAACGTACCTAGAGACAAACTCAAGCTAAGCGAGGCTGAGTCGCTATTAGAATATAAATAATAATTATATTATTATGTTTACCTAAATCGACACTTATAACTTATTTATAAGAAAATCACTACATTTTCCATGGCGTAAGTTGTTGACCCAATGTTCAATGTTAATAAGGGTCACATATTCCGTATATTTTTATCTCTGATATAAGTTTAACTTACTTCTAAAGTAACACTAATTATTATGTCAGGTTACATTTAAATCTAAGTAGCAGAAGTCTATAGTTAATGTATTTATGTATGTATGTTTGTATGTATGTATGTATGTATGTATGCAATTTTATTGCACAAGCTCTGCTTCTGAAAAAGCTCCTATCTCCTATCTCTGAATCTTTTACTGAGTTTCTTCAGTAGTTTGTACGTGACATATGAAATTACATGTATATCAAACAAACAGATATAATAGCAGCAACTTCCTGCCACTTTGCCTGCGTATCTACATATTTCCACTTATTGTTAGTATTCATAACAAATGCACGTAGCGCACGACATATTTTGTAGATAACGCGACGTGCAAGTAAAAAAAACATAAAAAATGTTTTTGTTGCAAAATATTTTATCATACGACGACGACACAATGTTTACGACTTTTGGAAGAATATAACTTGGCTTTTGGCTTAAATAAAAAAGTAATTCAAACATCTATCTCATTATTAAAATTAAAAAAAAACAAGCCATAGATGTTTCACAAGTTTACGTTCAGACAAACTTTTTTGGAAGTTATAAAAAAAAATATATGCTCTTTCTCATTTTTTGTAATTTGACTACAACATTGTAAAGCGGTTCACATGCGACACCTACTTTGCAAATAGTTCTTTAGTACCATTGTTTTTTGACTAAAATGGCTTTGGTATACGGACAGAAGGACATGAAAAACTATAAGAATTCCGTTTTTTCTTCGGGGCTTTAGCTACGGAACCTCAAAAACAGTCTTGAAAACAACTGGGTGATACGACCTTGTAAACCTAACGTGAACCCGTAACCAATCTAAAATTACCAAAAACCATTATCATGAGTCACAGCAACAACTAGTCTTTCGCAGAGCCACGTCACGGCGTACGTAAATATGTATGATTCGTTTATTTTTTACTACACCTTGTAATATACATTTTGAATTGTGAAATAATTTAATGAACCCACAATGAATGTGTCACTGTTGGGTAACTGAGTTTGTTTAAAATATTACTTTAAAATATCAGAATTCAATGCAACGAAAGGAAAAAAAATAACATTTTTTTTTAAATTTAAGTAATGTGTTTTAAATGTTTTTATATTATTCTACTATGCCTAATAAAAGGATGTTTGAAGCATTGGCATCAATGTTTTTTTTTTCTTTATAGATAGTTCGCGAGTCAAAGAGGGAGTGACTAATTACTTATCTATACTAATATAATAAAAAGGTAAAGTTTGTGAGTTTGTGACGTTGTAGGGGGTAATCTCTAGATCTACTGAACTGATTTAGATGAAAGGTAAGAAGATAGTTCGAGACCCTGGGAAGGACATAGGATACTTTTTATCCTGGAAATTGTCCCTTAAAAGGGTTGAAAGTTTGTATTAGAAAGCAAGCTAGGGACGATCCCGAGCGAATCGAGGGTGAGTTGCTAGTTTTATTACATAAAGAAGCCCACGATGCAAATAAGTCAGTTACATAATATGATACGGGACGGGTCTTAGCGACACAAACACTGCAGGCAAAACAGTGGCAATAGATAGTCTAGTGAAGATAGAATGATTTAATTTTATAAAAAAAATTCTCATAGTTTATAACTTAACACATTAACTGTAGTACTGTACAAAGAAATGCAGACAGTACTCTAGTACTGTAATGCAAACAGCATTTCTATACGTTAAAGCAAACAGAACGATTCGTAGATATTTATATTTATACTTATAGATTGATTAATTTAATGATTATATCTTTTTAATAATGACTACCCATTTTATAATTTATTATTGTTTTGTGTTTTTATATTAAGTGACGATGTTAGTGACCTCAATCGCGAATCTTATCTGTTGTACTCGCACTTAATATTTTCATTTTCAGTTTGCGATGATAACGATGTAATCGTCACGCAATACTAAATATGTGATGAACGTCATTATATTGTGCTTCGGGGGCAAAAGATAAGGCTTTTTATATTTAAACTAGCATTGTCCGCGGCTCCGCCCGCGTTCAGATGACCAAAAACCAAATTCTTAGGTTTTTAGATTAGTATACTCTTACATTGCAGTTTTTGTATTTTTTCTCAGAAATGAGATATTTTCCCGCGGTAAAAAGTATCTTATATGTTAACCCGGATAACCAGCTATCACCATACCAAATTTCATTAAAATCCCTCCATTGGTTTTTTTGTGATCGGACAGACGGAAGGACAGACAAAAATTCTAAAAACTATAGATTCGGCCTTTGTATTGATAATAAATAATAATGTTTATTACAATGAGATTTTCCAAAAAATATTTAATGTACAGATTCGGCTTAGTTACAATTTTATCATACGTATAGATGAAAATGTTTCCGTGATAACTATATTTATAAATCAATTGTTTATATACTTTAACATAACAACCAATGCAACTTTTTTATCATTAATTTTATCTAAATATTAAAAATCGATTTATAAACATGTAGATTGGTACTTACACCTGGATAGCTTTGTTTTCAAAGTACATATTCTCAAAAAATAATTACAATGTCGAATAAGATAAATGACACTCACGTAGTCAAACCTGTCCTTGCAGAGCTGTCCGAGCAGGTGCAGGAAGCCGACCAGTGTGAACCAGGAGCACCACAGCAGCACCTCGTCCATGTACTGTACGTTGAGGACGCCAAACACGAAGATGAACTTGTAGAACACGTAGTTCCAGAATTTGTCCTTCACCCGCTGGGCTTCGGCCACCCGAAGCTTGCCGAAGACCAGTCTCTGGATGAAGAAGCCGAACAACGCCAGCGAACAATACGCCATATTGATAAGTGTCTGTAAACAAAGAAATATTTACGTTAATTATAGTCTCAATGAGATTGGACGCCGTAGCCGGAATCGGTCAGGAGAACATTATTATAGAGCATGTAGCAGCCTAGCTCTATATTCTATACGTACAATAAAGTGTAACCGATCGCTGTCTGTACATGGAAGATATTTGAGAAAAACTATTGTGGTGGTAATTATTAATATAACCAAGCAATAGAACCCAAAACAAAGATTTTTAGAATTTTTATCTGTTTGTCTGTGAGTTTGTATGAGCTAATCTCAGAAACGGCTTAACCGATTTGGGGGTGGTTTTCACTAATGTATTGTGATAAGCTTCACTTAACATTTAGTATTTGTTTTATTTCAACCGGTTCATAAATAAAAAAGATATGTCAATTTAAATAATCGTGTCATAATCGGTATTTTTTTTAATTTTAATTTTTTGAGCGGATCCCTAATTTTTTTACTGAAGTAAAAGCAGCCTAAGTTACTCCTTATAACATCAACTACCTGCCAGTGAAAGTCCAGTCATAATCGGCCCAGCCGTTTCGGAGATTAGCCGGAACAAACAGACAGACGAAATTTTAAAAAATTGTGTTTTTCTTATAAATACCGCGTATAATTCCGCATTCATTTAGTAAAAACCTGTTATTTTGACATTACAAACAGACACTACAATTTTATTTATCTGTATAGATTATTATAAATAAATATATAATAGTTTTTGTTATTATTATCTAGGATTCTACATGATAAATAACCACGCTTGTACACTAAAATAAGTTTGTTATTTTCGCGAACACTATACTGAATACTCATAATAAACATTTTATATGGTGGATGAGGTGAGGAATATGTATATGTATTAGTATGAAACTGTACCTAATCAATATAACCAGCCTGCTGACAATTAAACAACAAATATGGAACATTCTCTTCCTCAGTCACAGCGCACTGTACGTGTTGATCATCACGTAGAAAAATACATGTTATTTACCGAATTGTCACACAGTAGCGATATACACTTACCTATACATTTATAATAAAATTGTAACTAAGCCGAATCTGTACATTAAATATTTTTTGGAAAATCTTATTGTAATAAACATTATTATCGATACAAAGGCTGAATCTACAGTTTTTAGAATTTTTGTCTGTCTGTCTGTCTGTTACCGCATCACAGAAAAAATACAAAAACTGCAATGTAAGAGTATACTTACTAAAATGTAAAACCTAAGAATTTGGTTTTTGGTCATCTGAACGCTGGCAGAGCCGCGGGCAAAGCTAGTTTAAAATATTTCTACATACACTATTTATGCCAAAAATATAACATCTTGTATTTTTCCAAAAACTTTGTACTGCCGTTTTACACGTTAGGTAGAATAATACCGGAAATCAAGATTTGTTTTGAATCTGATAATAAAAGCATTAGTATAAATGGCTTATTTATACTATAGGCTAAGATAATAAACGAATCGTAAACAAATGTGTGTAATACGCAGTAGGCACTCATTATACAGCACTAGTTTTCCATATTTTTAGAGTGACGGATTGGTGTAATTTTTTGTATGGATGTAATTGGACGGCTGGAGAGTGACATAGGCATAGACTTTTTACCGCGAGAGATTTTCTAATTCCCAATTTCCAGGGGAAAACACGTTATAATACAATTCAAAAAATATGTATGATCAGAATCACTTGAAACTTGGTATTAATGCTTTTCGAAATTCATCTCAAAAGGGTGGTAATATAGGGGACGAAAGTTTGTATGAAACTAGCTTTTTCGGGTTTTTTGTAGTTTTAGCGCGTGCGAAGCAGCTGCTAGTGAAATATAAATTTGAGGCCTGACAATTTTGCTAATAGTACCTAGGTATATAAAAAATTTACTCGACTCGAATAGCAAAGACATGTATAATGCATATGTATATATATAGTGTTCATATACATACGTACATACTACACATGTATCTATTTTTGTTATTTGACGACACGTTTGGCTCAGTTTGTAGTGGCCCTACTTGCTGTGCCAGCGGTCGCGGGTTCGAGTCCCGCTGGGGGCATTCATTTGTGTGATGAGCACGAATGCTTATGCTCTAGTCATGGGTGTTTATATTTATAATATGTATATATTTAAAGTTATATATGTGTAGTGTATTAACTATCTGGTATCCATAACACAAGCCTCGTTCGTAGCTTACCATGGAACTAGGTGGTGCTGTGTGTTAATGTCCCAACATATTTATTTATTTATTTATTTATCTATGATTCTTTACATCAATGAATCTAAACCGTACGATGCTATTTCAAAACCTAGGCTATTTAATACCAATAACCACATACATGTAAGAAACATACAACATAGCAAGCAAGCAAGTATGTATGTCCGTGGTGTCTATGTAACGTAGGAAGATCTCTATTCTCTACTAATTTTATGAATTAATAAATCCATGTCGTCAATAAAAGTGTAGATTAAAAGAAAAAAAAAAACAACAAAACTGTGTAAAAAAGTGAACTAAAGAGATGGAAAACAAGATGACCTAGGAACATAGTAGAATTTTTAATTTATGTAAATTTCCATTTTCCGCTTAAAATAGTCATTGTGTTAACTATCTGGAGCAATTAAATACAATATTTCTGACAAATTCAATTTAAAAGAGTTTAGTTAGTAAATTAGGGCGTACATTAGTATTAGTCTAGTGTCAACAAGTTGAAATTCTTGCTACTGTGAATTAAAATACGTGCGACACCTCGTTCGATTCGTTTGGCGTCTAGAATAATGTAAAAAAATTTCAAACCATCACATAAACAATTATAAAAGTTATAAACAATTAAAGATTTAATTTCAAAGGGGTCTAGTTTTTTGTAAATTACTCAAAAACTATTGATGCATGACATTTTTTAAAAACAGATTCTTAAAGAGGAGGAAATTTCTGAAAAAAAATGTCGACTCCCTCTGAAGCCTATTTTCAACATTAAATATAAAGTATCAATAATAGAAGTTGACTTCTATTATTGATACTATTTATTTAACGTTGAAAATAGGCTTCCGCGCGACTAGCGCAACGCCATAACGGTGCCTTGAAACGGCCGCTAATCATATAAAAAAGTTTTCGTGTTATTAAATATAAATTTAATTAAACATTTGAAAAAATTACACTGTAACGTCTAGACACTTGAAAGGAAAAAAACCCGTCAAAAATTTTTTTTTTCGTGCATTTTTTATTGAAATAACCTATCATTAATTAACTATTTTTCAAACCTCACATTTATATTTAAAGCTAGATAACTATTACACAAAATCTCTTAGAATTATTTCGTTCCGTGGATACCTTTTGGTAACAATACTAAAGAAGTTATCAGCACGCGGTGTTTTAAATTGTTTTTAACAATTAGTTAATATGTTTATTCAAATTTTCAGTAGTAGGTACTGTTTGTTTTCGGCGTACGCAAGTGTCTACGTCACACATTTTATAATTTATATTTTTATCTTATTTGTATACATATTTTATTTGTATATTAACGTACAGTTTGATAAGACATTGTTTTTGTAATTAATGTTATTTATATTTTCAGCTGTTTGGAAGTTACTTTTGCTTTATTGAGGTCATAGTGACTGTTATTTGTCAACTAAAAAATTTTTTTTATCTATGTTCACTCATCTGTCGAAGTAATTTTAGAACATGTTAGAAACATTTAAAATAGTTATATACGCAGACGGAGACGCGGGCAAACGTTGTAATGAGGCAATCTTACTGAGCACGTTGTATTTTTACATTAACATTTGTTTGTTTGCTTTGAATTAGGTAAGATGTATTATTACATATAATATTGAATGGTTTAATACGTAAATTATAATAAAAATCATTATTCGTTCAAATTCGTCAAATAATGTGCACTTTTTAAATGAAACTAATATTATAAATGTGAAAGTTTAGATGGGTGTTTGGATGTTGATGTAAACGGATCAGGATGACATTTGACACATACACATATTATAGTCTGGAATAGCTCAAAGGCTGCTTTTTATCCCGAAAAAATGTACAGTTCCCATGGATTATGGATAGATTTGTTATGATAAAGCCTGAAAATAGCTTATTACAGGATATAAGATAAGATAGAGAAGATAAGCTAAGATGTAATGACATCTTAAACACGATGCAAACATGCAAGAGTGTTACTGTTTATATATAAAATACTTTAATATGTTAATTATATAGCTATGACCTATGGATCTTAGACTATTAGTCTTGCACGTGCAAGTAAGTGTCTTCTGCAAGGCTACTGCCCTCCACGGACAAACAGAAAGTTGTTTAAAAATACGCATACTAAATAGTTTCGATACTCTTACTGTCCAATGTCCATCCTACTCCAAACAATAAATTATTATAATGAAAACGGTTTTAAAATCCTTGAATTGTTAATATTTACAAAAAAATATTTCAACGTTAATGTTAGTTAGTTTTTTTAATTTTTTTTATTTAACACCTCCAGGTAAATTTCTAAGAAATTAATTAAATGTCTAAGAAATCTATTATTAACTGTAACGCCGGCGTGTCCGCGATCGTGGAGGGATTATAGTTTAATGTAATCATTATACAATTTATTTCGCCAAATCATATAGAGCCGAGGTTTTTTTATTTTTTTTTCAAGTTTCTGTAAATTTTTGTGGGTACGCTAAAAATTTGGCAAGGATTTATGCCATGGAGGTATCATTATGTATGTATAATGTATGTATATACATTATTATTATAAATTAAAGTTTCGCACCGCGCTTAGTTTATATTTGTATTTCAGAAACTACTGTACGGATTTTCGTACGGTTTTTACCAATAGAAAGAGGGATTGTCTGGGGAGGTTATGGTGTATAATTTACAAGTTTAAACAAGTTAGAAGAACTCCTCGTTTTTAAAACTTCCCTGGGCTGATACTTTATTAATGCTAAGGGCATCAAGGGACGCGTGGATCAGTCGTACGCTTAAAACACGCAAGCTATAAAGTACTCTAAT